CCCACCTACCCTCCCCCACCGTCCCTATCGCGGCCCCAGCCCACATCCCCTCCACGTCATCGCCGCACACCCAAAACCGCCCTCCGCCCACCATCATCTTGCAGCCCACCGTCCTTATCGCCGCCCGTCGCCGCCCCGGCCCGCACTTCCTCGTCGCCGCGCATCCACATCCGCCCCCCAAAGTTGGAGCAACACGCGCTGCGCAACTCCGCCTTGAAGAATTCCGGCCCCCCCACGCACAGCCCCCCGCGCACCACCGCCCCGCTCACGTCGCCACGAGCCTCCGGTATTTCGGGCAGCCCCGTGTCTCACGCGTCCGCCCCCCTGTCGTACGCGTCCATCTACCACACCGCCGTCACGTGCTCGCAGTGCCCGCCCCAGTGCCGCCCAAAATGTAGATCCGCGTGGCGCGGTTTAAACGGATCCGGGCTAAACTTTGTAGTGTACTGTAGCGCAGCCGCGCTCGGCAGTCCGCACAGTTATTTTAATTTTAAAATTTAACTTGTCGCCACTTGTCAGCCTGTACTGTAGTGGGGCCCCGCCCCGCAGTCCGCATAGTAATTTGAATTTAAAATGTTACACTTGTCGCTGCTTGTAGCGCGGCCGCGCTCGGCAGTCCGCACAGTTATTTTAATTTTAAATTTTAACTTGTCGCCACTTGTCAGCCTGTACTGTAGTGGGGCCCCGCCCCGCAGTCCGCACAGTAATTTTAATTTAAAATGTTACACTTGTCGCCGCTTGTAGCGCGGCCGCGCTCGGCAGTCCGCACAGTTATTTTAATTTTAATATTTAACTTGTCGCCACTTGTCAGCCTGTACTGTAGTGGGGCCCCGCCCCGCAGTCCGCACAGTAATTTTAATTTAAAATGTTACACTTGTCGCCACTTGTCACCGCCACGTGTCCCCGTGGCGGCCTGGCCTGCGGCCAGGCCCCGCCCGTGGCCGCCACTTGTCACGGTAGCGCCAATGGCAACGCGGGAGCGCAAGGACATACAGACACACACACAGACAACGATTTTAGTAGTTGTAGACAAGTGGGCTCCGTGCGCGCTTCGCGCGCCGAGCCAAGGAGGCGTGGAGGAACACTATTTGGGAAGGGTGGCAATGAAAATATGTAAAGACAATGGCGTTACTTTTTTTGGTAACTACTGAAGGACCTCGGGGTACACTACGTTTCGCGTGGTTTCATTGGACTCTCGAGTGAGGACAGTGACGTTCCCTGGGTGAGTAGTCCTTGATAGTGCGACATAGAGTTGACCGTGCGAGAAGCAGTGATCTCGTAAGTCGAGACCAATGCGGCCACCGAAGGATTGGCCTTGCGCTTTGTTCGTTGTAAGGGCGAAGCACGTGCGAATGGGGAACTGCGTTCGGGTGAAGCCAGGGATGGGAAAGTTGTCGTCTCCTGGTCCGCAGGTCATTCGAGGAAGACACAATCTGTTGCCTTGGTGTGACCCGGTGGTAACGTGTAGAAAGAGCAGGTTGTTGGTCATGTTCTCGATGACATATGGCGCGCCGTTGACGTGACCGGTAGCGGGATCGAGATTGCGCAGAAGCATGACGATGAATCCTTTCTTGAGCTTGAGCTTGTGGTCTGGTAGAGCAGATCCGGCGGTCAAGGTGTTGAGCATTTCTGTGGGATAGATCAGCGCGTTGGTGTCTTCGTTCTCGACCTTGTCTGCGCTCAAATACGTTCGATACGATCCCGGAATCATGTTGCCGATGACCTCGTTGACTTCCTCGAGCGGCCTGTTCTTTGTGGTGAGTATAACGCGCTTGGTGAGCCAGGCAGGGTCGGCGTGATTGTCTCGAATGCCTTGGAAGACCTTGAGGCATAAATTGCGGATGGTGTGCTCGAACGCAACGGACTGTGGTAGTGAGATCCATTCCGGGCGCTGTTCGCCTTGAAGTCTGCCTTCCCCGACGCTGAGGAGGAATTCTGGAAAGCTGAGAGCCTCCACATCTGCTGCAGGGTCCGCTCGGAGAGCAGCAAGGCGCATGTTCTCGGTAAGGCGCAGGAATCGGCACTCTCGATACAGCGGGGAAGCCTTGACGCACGCACTCACGATTTGACCTCTGGACCCGCCCGGAACGACGGGAAGGATTTGTCTAAAGTCTCCAGCGAGCACGAGGAACTTTCCTCCGAAGGGCCGGTCGGTTTGCATCAAGTCTCGAAGGGAGCGATCGACAGTCTCAATGCAATGTCGATGGCACATGACGATCTCGTCCCATATGATGAGATCGACTTGTTGCAGTGTACGGCCTGTGTCGGAGTTTGCGGAGAAGCTGCACGTGCTTTCGGCAGATACAGGAATGGGAATCTTGAACACGGAATGAGCGGTGCGTCCACCGTCGAGCAGCACAGCAGCAACAGCAGACGTAGCGACAGCGATGACCTGCTTACGGCGCGTACGAAGGAAGTCTTGAATGGCGCTGAGCACGAATGTTTTGCCTGTTCCGCCAGGAGCATCGAGGAAGAAGAGACGACCACTTCGTGTCAGCATAGAAGGTCCCGCAACGGCGCTTAAGGATCCTTGAAGCAATGCAGAGACGGATACGCCTGGAAGCAAGGAGCCCACTATTTCGTCAAAGGCATGACGTTGATTTGTGTTCAACAGCGGCAACGACGTCTGTAGTCGCCCTTCCCACTGCTGCGCTCGTGCTTCGGGGGTCTCGGTCTCGTTTTGCTGTTCCAAAGCGGGCAGGCTGTCATCGGGCAGTGGGAGTCCGAAGTTTGCGAGCGTCCAGTCAGATCGCACGGTCTGCAGAGCCTCCTGTACCTCTCGAAGGACGTAAGATGTGGCGTGGTGATCATCGCGAAGCTGCTGTCTTCGAATGGGTTGTCTGCGTGCACGATTGCGAATATCGGTGAGAAACATGTCCAGGTGGTCGTTCCACAGCGAGAGAGGGTCCGAAGGCTGGCAGTGTGCCAGAATCGTAGCAAACAGATGAGAAAGAGGAACGAAGCTTGACCGGAATGAATCTCGGATTGCGTGCTTCCACTCGGCATCGTCGGCCAGCAAACCGAGTCGTAAGCAAGCTTGTCGGAAGCTGGTGCACTGCTCGCCGTCGATATTTCGCAAGTTGTCGAAGGATGTTGCCCCGGGCACTTGTGTGAGGAGGAGGCGAAGAAAGTAGCGCTCACCCTCCCTCGGACTGAAAGTGTAGATTCGACCGACTACGTTGGCACCTGTACCACTGAAATCGTAGGCTTTCTCTTCGCTGGTGGCGTTCCGTCTTCGGAGGGTTGCTCTTGGACTCCATGACTTGGTGCGTGTCTTCCACGTAAAGTACCTTGGAAACTTGTGGTACCGAAGATGCCTCGCGATTGGGTACTTCTCGTTGGCTTTAAACCCCTCGGTCAGCTTCGTACCTGATGCTGGTCGAAGCGCCGCCTCCTGCTCTCGCCCTTCCTCAAAGTATACTGTATGGTGGTTGGGCAGATGCACCGTAAGTATGACCACTGGAGGATTGCGATCTACAATGTCAAAGGAGAATAACCTCCATGCGGCCTCCGATGCCGAAACGTATCTGGCATCTTGGAAGTTGGAGATCTCGTCGTGGCACTCGTTCTCGGCAGTGATTTCCATGGTCACTCGGTCTTGTCCCTTGCAAACATACTTGAAGAGGTACTTGATTCCGCCAACGCGTGACACGCAGAGTTCCACATTCAAATGGCAAGCGAATGATCGTAGAAGCAGAGGACAGTGGGGAACGACCCAGGAGTTGTCGACCACGACGGATTGCTGTCGTCGGCCAACACGGGAGGGTCGCTCGATGGAGACGCCACCTGCAGAGGGGGACCTTCTGCGGTACGTGATGTAGTACTCACTGTCGGACTGGCTGGTTTCGTGTTTGAACGATTTTGGAAACCCTTTCCTGCAGTACTGCTCGCCCATGCACACGGCTGTTGGATTGCGTTCTACACATGGATTGTGAATCATATGCTTGAGCACGACCTCTTGGAGTTCTGGATCTTGGGCAGACGGGATCTCGGCAGAGATAATGCGGTCGACGTTTTCGGGAGTACGCATATCATTCTTGGAGACTTCATCTAGGAAAAATACAACGTGAGCGTGGGGAAGACCGCGTTTCTGAAACTCGATGACTCGTACATGGGCAACAACGGTTCCGAATACTTCTTCGTTGATGACCAAGGACATGAGATCTTTCATTTTCAGACGAAACACACGTGCGCACAGGTCCGGTCTGTCCTGAGGCGTTTGGTTCGGCAGTAGGGCTCTTGTGATCTCCGGCCAGCTTGGATTGCATGTCATAGTGAGGAAGATGTCCGGGTGGCCAATTTGGTTCGATATAGCAATGATGTCGTGCATCTGCTGCCTCATGTAGCGGTCACCTCCAATGTACGTGGAAGGGAGAATGAACAGTCGTCCCGCACGCACGGCATCGGCTTCATCTTCAGCACGACCGGAGTCTCCTGGGCTGTCGCGCAGTGAGGTGTAGTCGGCGGCTCGAAGCTGTGTCTGGTTGTGGCGGAGATACGAAAGCCTTTCTGCCTCCACTTTGCAGAACTGGTCAACCAAATATTGCTGAAAGAGTCGCGCTGCGTGCAAGATTGTGCTGAACTCGCCTGCTCTTTCGAACAAATGCCATCCGTAGTACATCATCGGAGTAATCTTGGTACGTCTGCCGTCGTCATCACTGAAGAATCGAAGCTCTGGATACCATCCATCTCTACCGTTCGGGAACAAAAGCACGTAACTCAACGGATCGTATGCACGATGACTGACTGAAATCGGATCCAGCACTTCGTTCCCGTTACTGTTCAGAGTCCCTCGCCTGCGCACGACGATATCTCTTCGCCCAATCTCTCCGTCTTCATTTCCAGGGATCAATGCTGCCACTTCAGAAGCTTCGGGACCATTGTACCGGCGCACGTGCTCATGACTTGGCCTGCGGTCGGCATGGATGAACATCTGGTACGGGGCTGGAGTGTTGGGTTGAGGGGATTGAGCCCATTCTCGCATACTGAGAACAGTCTGCACGTAGGGGTTGCATTCGTGCAGCATGTGCGTCAGTTGCATTAACAGTGTGTCTTCCAGCCGTGTAGAGGCTCCGCCAAGCCTTGTGCGCGTTTGAGTACCGTAGTCAGTGTCGTGAATGTAAACGGAAGCAAAGGAAGGCGCCCGCCCCTCGGATGGCATCATGGGACCCATGTAATGGTACATCTCGCCCTGCATCGTCATTGTGGGGTTAAAATTGGAAGTACCGGGCCCTCTGTTCACCCATTTGGCGACCACGGACGCCATAGACAGCGCTGAAGTGTATGCTCGAATGTTTTTACGGAAGCCGCGGGCCCTTGGAGTATCATCGATGAGAAGAGAGCGCAGAAGAGCTGGCGGGTCGGTGAGAAGGGGCAGTGACAGCTTCCCCTTCCCACAGCATGTGGAAAACATGGGCCTTGCGGCAGAGCTGCTCACGATGCGTTCTTGGACGAAATGCAGAGCTTTGCAGTGCGAACACTCAATATGGACCATGCCGAGATTGCGATACGAAGGCGAGGATTCGGGTAGTGGGGGGAAGAGCTGCCGAGAAGCCGTTCGAGCCTGGCCGTCGGATCGTTGCCGGGCATTCCGAGTCGGTGTGTCTTGTGCATCCCTGCGTAAAAAACCACACACCGTCAAATGTCAGTAAGCGTTCGCGTGCGCTCTAATACCGCGGGCGGCAAGCCGGCCGGAGCAAAGAGGACAGTTAGTAACTTACTGATTTCGCGTAGACGGTGTGCGCCGGGATCGCTAGCGAACGCGAAGCGGATCGGGGCTGTATTATTATTTTAAGTCTACT